TCTTATAGGATAAGGGTGATTTCACTTCAACTGGAGTAGCCGCAGCCGCTTTCTTGTGATGCGTGTCAGATTGTGTCGGAATTCTTGGTTGTTCTTTAGCAGCTAATTTTTCTTTAGCAGCTAATTTTTCTACCGTAAGAGACATCTGATTCACACTTTTACGTAAATCACCTATTTCCTTCATTAGATCATTCTTTGATGAGTCATGCCTACCAATGCAAATCAATACAAAAATCAGTACCGAAACATCACGGCGAGAGTCAGTACCACAAGAACATCTATTTCTCGTATTATTTAAAAAAAAATAGATCGCTTTTAATAAATGCGAGTTTTAACTCGAGCAATCTGGATAAGGTACCTGTATTATTATTAAATACATAATAAGTCAACAACGCATAAAAATAATTATTTCTGTTCACGTGTGTCTTGATTGGTTAATTTTAAATTACAGCTTGTGTCGGTCTTTTTAATGATTTGTTTATTGGTCTTAAGTTTCTTAATTTTAATTTTATATTTTTACAAACTGTATAACATTCCTTGTATTTTTTAGCCTTGAGAATGATGCTGAAGGCATCGGAACGTTGGCTTTTGATTAGAAAATTTATAAATAAAGTCGAAATAAGCTAAAAACTGCCTACCTTTTATTTATCGTATTTCTTTTTATTGTCATCTTATTCCTGGTGGGAACCCACATGATTAATTGGTTATGGGTTTTAAGATGGGTATTCTTATACGATCTGGCTATAAATCTGATAAACATTTGTTTTTTTTAGGTTTATGATGAAAAGTGAATATCTGGAGGATGACATTAAAATGGAAATAGAAGAATCAGATATTGAACTAATAGGCACTGGAGGGATATTCCTGAAGAAAGCAGATAATTCAAATGACGCCAATTCAACAAAACAAGATGCCATCAAGAAGTTTCAATGTTATACTTGCAATGCTATATTTAAAACAAAATCAAATTTGAAAATTCATTTTATAACACGTTCGGATATTCGCCCTTTTGAATGTAAAACTTGCAAAGCAAAATTTAAACATAAAAATAATTTGAAAAGGCATATATCAACACACTCTGATATTCATCCTTTCAAATGTGATGCTTGCGGAGCAAAATTTAGAGAAAAACGCCTGTTAAAGAATCACCAACTAATACACACGAATATTCATCCTTTCGAATGTGACACATGCAAAGCTAAATTTAAAGAGAAACATTATCTGAAGAATCATTTATTATCACATTTGGATATTAATATTTTTGAATGTAACATATGCAGAGCAAAATTCACACAAAGACATTTTTTGAAAAAACACCAACTTTTACACTCGGATATTTATTCTTTTGAATGTTACATTTGTAAAGCAAGATTCAAATATAAAGGCAATTTGAAGAGTCATATATCAACACACTCAGATATTTATCCTTTCGAATGTAACACTTGCGAAGCAAAATTTAAGCAGAAAAATAATTTGCAGATTCATTTATCAACACACTCAGATATTTATCCTTTTGAATGTGATACTTGCGAAGCAAAATTTAAACTAAAAGGCAATTTGAAGAGACACATAAAGTCTAAGCACCGAGAGGTTACTCCTAAGTTGTGAAATACGGCAAGACTATAAATTATAAGAAGTTAGGACGAACTACCTGAAATTCTTACATAATTTTTTTTTAAATATATTTTTCACAGGTATATACCTTTCGTATTTATTCAAAAGGCAATATATTTATCTGATGTTGTATATAGAATGTTGTACTTTAATTATTACATATTGTTTACAAGTAAAACATCATTATTATCCAACTAAACACAAAATAAATAGGAAATTGAACAAAATCAAAATTTAAACAGAAAAGCCTTTTAAAGGATCGCAAACTATCACACTCGGATATTTATCCTTTTGAATGTTACACTTGCAGAACAAAATTTAAACTAAAACAATATTTGAAGAAGCACCAACTAATGCACTCGGGAATTTATCCTTTTGAATATTGCAAAGCAAAATTTAAGCGAAAATGTAATTTGAAATGTCACATATTATGACACTTGGATATTTTTCCTTTTGTATGTAACACTTGCAAATCAAAATTCAGAGACAAATGCGCTTGAAGAGTCACGAACGAATACATTCGCATATTTATCCTTTTGAATGTAAAATTTGCAAAGCGAAACTTAAACGAATTGGCTATTTGAGCAAACACATGGTAATACACTCAATTATTTATCCTTTCAAATGTGGCGTTTGTAGAGCAAAATTTAAACGGCAGCCTTATTCTGTAACTTGCGACCGCAGAGAATTGCACAATTGTCGCTGTCAAACGCGAGTTTTCTATTCAAAAAAAGCAACTTGCGACCGTTTGCTGGTTGCTATGTAATTGCTGTTCGTAGAGAATAGGCCTGCCGAAATGCCATTTGAAGAGTCACCAACCAACTAAAACACTCGGATATTTATCCTTTTAAATGTGACCCATGCAAAGCAAAATTTTAACAAAAATGCAATTTGAACAGACACATGTTAACACACTCGAGTATGAAGAAAAAAGTGTAAATTTTAATCTAACCTTTGCTTGCTAAATTTAAATATGAAACACTTTCAAGTGTTTATTCAGCATCCAAACATGTGATACTGATGACTATTGAGTACAATACACGTAGGCTTCAGTACTTGTCTTTTATACATATGTATAAAAGATATTTACCAAATTACACGGCTTGATCTGAATATTACACCTCTCCCTTCGAGTTAGATCAAATTATTCATATCTTAAGCCATTACACAAAGTGCAAGGCATTAAATTTGGATCGCAACTTAACGAATCTTTTTCCAGCCCTGAGAATGATACAGCTATCATCACACACAATGTCTGAGTCAGGAACGTATAATATGTTGAGCTTTCAATGAAACTTTTTTGAGCAGTCTGAGCTTGAGATACTTGAAATTTATTTCTACAATTGAGAAGCTAATCATATGTACGATTATGCTTCGAATGAAAACTATTTTGACGCATTTCCTGACTATTATTCTTTTGAACAGTGTATGACCTAGGTACAGTCATTTTTTCAGTAACTGTGTCTGGTTGCCATGTCCTACCCTCTTTTACATTTACCCTATCAGCAACTCTAAAAAGATCCCTGCCTATTATAGTGGTATTTATATAACTTTCTTCTATTTTCAATTTTTTTTTTCTTTTTTTTATAGTCGAAGGTTTGAAGTTCTAATCGGTTTTTCACCACTGGTAGTTTAGTCCTAAGGGAACGGCTATTGAGAACTTGGTCCGCAGTTTTTTTCCGAACCGTGTATTTCTATATTCCAAAAGTGCACTCTAGAATATATGGCATTTTTTTAAAGCATATTTTCAACTGTTTGCACAGCCCTCGCAGCTAATCCATTGAATCTAGGGTAATAAGACTGGGAGTAACAATATTCTTGTGCAAACACTGTACATTCAAATTAATTAAAGGGAATGTTGATTGCAACAACCTCTCTCGGAAAATATTTGCTTAAAAGCCTCTATAATCGAGTCTATTTAACAACCTCCAACCATTGTCGAATAATCAATTATTATCAAATATGATTTTCCTTCAGATTTTGTAAAATCACTGCCAATAATTTCAAAGGGAAACTCTGAGATTTTTCGTAAAATAAAGGGTTCTTTTTGATTGATTTTTTTGTACTTTGTATATGTTTAGCACAACTTGTTGTAACTAGCTCCTCGATATCAGAGTTAGGTTGAGCCTAATATAAATTTGCCTAGCTATTTGCTGAATTTTAGTAACACTATAGTGATTTTCATGAAGCTGTTTCAGCATTTTATTTCTGACTGATTTGGGAACAGTCAATGGGTCGTTCAATAAGTAAATATTATATCGTTTTGCATATTTTTTTTTTAACAAGATCAAGAACTTATGTTATACTAGATGGCGAACTCCTATTGTAAACATTCTTTAAAAGTTTAAGCTCATCGTCTTTATATGTTTTTACTTTCAACTCTGTAGGTCGCTCATCCGACAAATTTATGGAATGAACCATATCATTCCGAGCATCACAAACACGATGGATAGTGTTACCGTTTATTCAAATATCACGAGTTCTTTCCTCTAATATTTCAATATTTTTTGGGGGTTCAAACTCATAAATCTCGTTCTTCGAGGTTTTCCAAAGGGAAAAGTCCAGAGGCGTCTGGGGACTTAGCTGGACCGCCATTGGAAATTATTCAGTCTTCAAAATCTTGCCCCAAATTTCGCTAAACTTCTCTACTTTAGTATTATGCGCAGGACAACCATCTAGAAGATAATTTTTAGTACATTTATTTACGTTTATCCATATCTCTTAGTTATAAATAATCTATTCTATAGTTTTTTACAAATATTTTTTTCAATAATGATAGGATATTTTTGTTCTTGAGTCATGTTATTCTGTCATATCATCATGTTTTTACTTCCTCATAAATGTATTCCTCTAAGTCTTATTATTATAAAAAAAAGTACCTACTGTTAGAATCAAAATTATATTTGAATTTAAAATAATAATTATTATAAAATATTTTTCGAAGGAATTAAATTATTGTGATGATAATTCAACCGGACTATTATTTATCTTGGTGAAACATGAAATGATGCAGGTAAATAAAGTAAAGGGTCGAATATACTTCGTCAACCGCTGGCAATCGTGCGAGAAAAGGGACAGGCAGGTACTGGAAAAACGGAGCCAGTCTTCCCGTGAGTGCTAGCACGCTTGCTATAATTGCCGTTGGCTATTTTGTTTACAGTTTACAATAAATAATATAACATCAGAAGTGGGATATCGAATACACGTGGTATGCTAAAATAAATTTACGTGCGGAATGTGGACAGTTAGTTTTTCATTGTGCGTTTCGTAAAAAAAAAGCTCAGGCTATTGTTTTGTTTATGACAGTTTTTCTTGTTTGAATTGTTATTGGTAAAAATACCTGTGTGTTATTAGTTATTAGTGACAATAAAGGTGTGAAAATGTAGCAATTGCTTAGTGAATTGGTAAAGGCTATCAAGTGTTCGAAGACGGCACCAGATCAAGTGGATTTGCCCCTGTTTAATCCTGACACGACGGATGCCAAAAAATGGTTGGCTGAAGTAGGTACAATAAAAACAGAATTTGATTGGACTGATCAACAATTGTTAGTACGGGTAAGCAAATTTTTGAAAAATGAATCTAAAGTTTGGCTTGATATGTGGACCCCGGAGACTCGCGATTGGGCGACGTTTCAAAAAGATTTTATTGAATCATTTCCCCCAAAAAAGATTTTGGGCCGATTACTTTCGGAAGCAGCAGAATTTAGTAGTGATAAGTGTAACTGCTATGAGGCATATGTTTATGAAAAGGTAAACAAATTGAGAAATGTTAGGGCACAGTGGGAGGAGCCAGATCTTGTCGAAATTATTATTTATGGGATAAGAGAACGTGAAGTTCAAACTATAGCTAATAATCAGAATTTTAAAAAAATATCAGAGTTGATAGCTTTCTTGGGTTCCTTAACAAAGCCTTCGTCCTCTGGTATGAAAAGACCTTTTGAAAAAAATTAACTTTGGTCGGGAAATAAACGTTATCGATTTAGTGACAATGATAATCGGTACAAAGTTGATAACTCGGTTGATAACAATCACCAAAATAGAGGTGTTAGGCGAGAAAACATAAAATGTTATAAGTGTGGGCAATTAGGACATATCCAGGCGCGTTGTCGTAATCAAAGTGAGCTAAAATCGTCTCCTCATCAACCTCAACCTAAAGTCGATGAAGAAAAAAAAAACAGACAATGTTTGTTTATTTTGTGCTAAAGCTGGACACAGTATAGAAAATTGCTTTACACGTAAGGGTATAGAAAAGCGGAGGAACACTCATGATGTCAAATTCTGTACTACAGGAAAACCAGTTCCTCTGAATGAGCTAAAAATAGATGTTAATATTTTTAAGGGTATTATTGACACTGGAGCAGATATTTCCTTGATGTCTGATAAACACCTTCCATATTTTTCTCAAAGTGTTTTGCCATGTAATGTTAATTTATCTGGAATACTTCCAGGCAGTATAGAGTTACATCAGATGTTTAAGGGTACAGTAGAAATTTGTGATGTAATCTTAAAACTAGATTTTGTTTTTGCACCTCAAAATATATTGGAGTACGATGTCATTATTGGTAAATACCACTACTTTACAAATCAAATTAAAGGATGCTATTTTAGTGCCCTCAATGTCCATAGAAGAGGGGCTAGAATCACTTGAAAAAGTTCTAGGTGCCTTGCAAGAAGCTGGGTTTTCCTTGAACCTCAAAAAATGTCATTTCTTTCAAGAAAAATTGGACTATCTGGGACAAGAAGTTTCATCACAGGGAATCCGTCCTGGATCACAGAAAGTAGAAGCACTAATTAAAGCTCCATCACCAACTAATGTGAAACAAGTAAGACAATTCATGGGGTTAGCAGGCTATTTCAGGAAATATGTCCCAGAGTTTGCCTCCCGAACAGCCTGCATAACAAAACTCACACGAAATAACGAACGATTTGTCTGGTCCTCGGAGCAAGAAAATGCAAAAAACTATGTGGTCAATTGTTTAGTTTCTAAACCTCTTTTATCAATATTTGATCCGAGTTTGCCGACTGAGCTCCACACAGATGCGAGCTGCATTGGATATGGAGCAGTACTGCTACAGAGACAAGCCGGAAATAATAAAATAATTGGATACTTCAGTAAACGTACCAGTTCTGCAGAAGCTAAATATCATTCATACGAGTTGGAGACTCTAGCAGTCGTAAACGCTCTCAAACATTTTCGAGTCTACTTGCTTGGCCTACACTTCACATTGGTTACGGATTGTAATGCTCTGAAGGCCACAGCGAACAAAAAAGAACTTGTACCCCGAGTAGCTCGCTGGTGGATCTACATGCAAGATTTTTCCTTCCAAATTATTTACCCAAAAGGTAGCTCCTTGCCTCACGTAGATTATCTGAGTCGCAATCCCGTTACCAATTCTGTTACTGTAAGACGAATTGCTGATAAAAATGAAAATTGGTTATATGTTGAACAACGAGGGGATACTGAGATTAGTAAACTAATAAACGATGCTGAACAGAACCTATTGGACAAGACACGCTATCTACTGAAACATGGAATTTTGCATTGTTTGGTCCCTAATGACCCAGCGAAAAAACCGAAACCAGTATTACCACAAAAAAGTCGTCTGGGACTTCTGAGGATCTTCCACGATGAACAGTGTCACATTGGAATGGAAAAAACAATTGAGTCAATACAAAAACATTTCTGGTTCCCTAGGATAAGACATTTTATTCAAAAATACATTAAACATTGTTTAATTTGTGCTGTTAAGAAAACCCGAGCAGGTCCTCTTCAAGGATTTATCAAAAATGTCGACAAACCATCAGTGCCCATGGAAATACTACATGCAGACTGTTTGGGACCATTGCCTGCAACGTCTGATGGTTTTAAACATATTTTGGTAGTTGTGGACACTTTTTCCAAATTCTGTGTATTGCAATGTTTAAAATCCGTCAAAGCTGAAGAGACAAAATTAGCTTTTCAAAATATCATTTCATTGTTTGGTACTCCAAAAATGATAACCATGGATGCAGGTTCGAATTTTAAAAATTTAAGCTTGCCTGAATATTTGGATGTCTTGAAAATTGAATATCATTATACAACACCTGACATACATCGTTCAAATGGGCAAGTTGAACGATATATGCGTACTATCATGAACTTGTTGCGGGTAGAAACCCGTATTAAATCAGAATGGTCGAGCAAAATATGGAAGATACAATTAGTACTTAACACCACCGTCCAAAAGTCAACCAATACTGCGCCACTAAGAGCATTGATTGGAGTCGATGGTGCAACGCCTCTTATTCAGAATTTGTTGAAGAACCTCACGGATGATTCTGTGCCAATAAGGAACTTAAATTTGGATCGAGAAAGAGTCAAAAGTGCCCTTGATAGCAATACCAAAAGGGACCTGAGATCAAATACAAAACGTCGTGATACGAAAGTTTTTCAAGTTGGTGATTTTGTTTTAATGCACCGAGACGAAAAGATGCATCAGGGAAAGCTATCTTATGAATTTGATGGTCCTTTCGAGGTTGTTGGCATCACCCCGCAACAACGTTACGAGATACGAATAGTTGGAAAATCAACCATTACCAAGGCAGTTAAAGAGCAGCTACGAATTTGGCCTACAGACTGGTCTCTCACACTAGACATGCCAGACTTATTGGAACTTTTAGAACAAGAATTCAGGCGAGTGACTTTTCATTTATTTGTTGGTTATTGATATCTGGCCATGTTAGAATCACTAGAAGCCAGTATTTTAAAAATATATCAGGGAATTTTCACACTTGTAAATTTGTGTGTTATACCTTTTATTAGTTGGCTACATTTTGTATGTACTTTGACCAAGGTTTTGACTTTATGATTGTAACTAAAACTGAACGTATTTTCTATTTTGCCGAAATACTGAAAGTATTTCCTGTTTTGATGAACCTAATACTAAAAGTATTTTCAATTCCGCCGAAATACTAAAAGTATTTCCTGTTTTGATGATGCCGAAATACTAAAAGTATTTCCTGTTTTGATGAAACTAATACCAAAAGTATTTTCAATTCTGCCGAAATACTAAAAGTATTTCCTGTTTTGTAGAACCAATACTAAAAGTATTTTCTATTTTGCCGAAATACCAAAAGTATTTCCTGTTTTGATGCAACTAATACTAAAAGTATTTTGAATTCTGCCGAAATACTAAAAGTATTTGCTGATATTTTGGACTAATTCTAAAAGTATTTTCTATTTTGCCGAAATACCAGAAGTATTTCCTGTTTTGATGCAGCTAATACTAAAAGTATTTCCAAATTTGCCGAAACACTAAAAGTATTTCCTGTTTTGATGCAAATAATGCTAAAAGTTATTTATCTTTTGCCGAAATACTAGAAGTATTTCCTGTTTTGTGAAAATACAAATTTATGTTTCTTTTCCCTCGTTTTCCTGTTAGTTACTTATTGGGAATTATTTGTAATTTCAGTGAGGACTGTGAGGATGAGGTTGTCTTTACTATTGGTGAGAATTAAAATAATTATTGGATGTTGCAGTTCCGAGAACGAAACTACTATCAGGGTTGGCCGTGTTAGAATCAAAATTATATTTGAATTTAAAATAATAATTATTATAAAATATTTTTCGAAGGAATTAAATTATTGTGATGATAATTCAACCGGACTATTATTTATCTTGGTGAAACATGAAATGATGCAGGTAAATAAAGTAAAGGGTCGAATATACTTCGTCAACCGCTGGCAATCGTGCGAGAAAAGGGACAGGCAGGTACTGGAAAAACGGAGCCAGTCTTCCCGTGAGTGCTAGCACGCTTGCTATAATTGCCGTTGGCTATTTTGTTTACAGTTTACAATAAATAATATAACACTACATACAACGTTGTCAGTGAGTTTTTCCTGTGACAAAAATTTTAAGGATATTTCCGTCAAATATCAAAATTTGGTTAACATGTAATGACTGGTTTATACTTCCAAAATTAAGAATTAAACTAAACTAAGTAATAAATTGAAAATTAAATTAAACTAAACTTTAAAAATGCAGTTTATACCTAAAATTAAGAATTAAGGATTTTTTGGAATTAGCTAGCTTTTCACGTAATCACAAATGACAGAAAGGAACATTGAAATAAACAAAAACCAGCTAAATAGATCGATCTCCTTAATTTTTAATTCGTAGTTGAAAGTTAGCCAACTTTCAATTTAATTCAATTTAATTTAATTTTTTAATTAGAGGTATAAACTAGGGCTCGGAATTGTATTCGAATATTCGACTATTCGACTATTCTAAATTCGACTTTTTTGTTACTTAACAAATTCGACTATTCGACTATTCGAATGTTCGACTATTCGAATATTCGACTATTCGACTATTCGAATATTCGACTATTCGAATATTCGACTATTCGAATATTCGACTATTCGAATATTCGAATATTCGAATATTCGAATATTCGAATATTCGATTATTCGACTATTCGGCTATTCGAATATTCGACTATTCGAATATTGGACTTTTTAACAATGCAATTACTCACTTTTTGATTTGAATATATATTCAATTTAAAATTTCAATTGTTTCGTTTCAATATTGGAATTTGAATGATACAATATACGAAGTGTTTTCGTTAAAAATCAGCTTTCAATAAATACAATGCATTTTTGTTCGTAATGTAAATTTTACCCCTTTGTAAATTTGCCATTTAGAAAACATCTAAATTATTTTAGTTTTTCTGACTCTGCGATACTCTGCATAAAAAATCAAAAATTCGCTTCGTCGTAGAACGTTCTTTTGCGGGAAGTAGAAACTTTTATCAAGAATGATTGTTAGTCGAAAAACGTCATTTTTAAAGTCCCATTTTGTTCTCTTAATAAGGTCCTCTATCAATATTTGACTATTGGAATATTAGACATTTTCCAATATTCGACTTTTTGACTACATATTCGAATATTCGACTATTCGACTATTCGAATATTCGACTTTTCGACTATTCGAATATTCGACTATTCGACTATTCGACTATTCGAATATTCGACTATTCGAATAGTCGAATATTCGACTATTCGATTATTCGACTATTCGAATATTCGACTATTTGAATATTCGAATATTCGACTATTCGAATAGGTATTCGAATATTCGACTATTCGAATTATTCAGCTATTCGAATAAAATACCAAACGACTATTCGAATACTTGAATTTTAAAAATTCCGAGCCCTAGTATAAACGACAGCATCAAATTATGGACGTTTAACATTTAAATTTTTGGTTTAGTTTAATTCTCAATTTAGTTTAATTTTTAATTCAGAAGTATAAACCAGGCATTATGTATCAGTTAAAAGGCATTTCCAAGCATAAAAATCTGAAATGGCGGCTATAAGAAAAAATGAAGTTGCTTCTAGTATTATGAAAACAAAAGAATATCGATGATTTCAAACATTATCAAAAAACTATTTTTAAAAATGTGTCTCAATAATGTCAAAGTTTGACATGTCAAATCAATAGTTTTTGGGATATGAACAAAAATTAAATTCTCTACGATAATCAGTTTTTTTTTCAATTATTTCAAAAACAAATAATTTTCACTAAAATTCAAAAGCAGATTCTGAATCAGCATGAAATTCTCTAAAACTTTCCCAATTCAACTGATTGTTTATCTCTTAAAACAACCAAAATCCCAATGCTGAGGATTTAAATTGGGACACACTGTATGTAGATATAAACTTGTAAGAGTGACACATTGTAAATGCATAGTTCTATTTTTTGTTTATAATTTGTATTATATGACAAATTTTAATTACTGTATAATGCAGTGTTTGTAATACTAGGCATAGTTTGTGATTATTTAATTTTAATTTTAATTTCAATCTTGATCGTGATGCACCTTGATGCTGGGAATGATTTATTTGTAATCAAATATCTGAATAAATAACTTCACTTTACTAGGAATTACTTTTCATTTATAGTATTTTACATTATTAGCCAGGTAAAACAGTTTTTACTGGTGATTGAAGGAAATGACCAGCGAGCCGTCAGGCGAGCTTGTCACCTTCAAGAGCCAGTAATAACTGATACCTGGCGTATGATGTACAATAATTTATTTGTTACTTATTTGTAAACAATAAATAAGAAATTAATACATTAGGTAATAAAATTTTAATAAATAATTCTACTGACCCTACTGACTTGTAAAAAGTTTTTACAGTTCAGCTGTCAATTTTACAAGTCAGTAGAGCCAGTAACTGGTAAAAATCTATTTTCGTTGTTATGTTTTGACTTGATAAATGACGTTTTACAAATGAGTGACAAATAAATTTTTTTACCGTGCACTAAGAATAATGATTTCTGATATTTCAAAGACAAGTTCAGTCCAAACTTGTTTAATGATGCAATTGCAAATTTTCATTTTGTCTAAACTAAAGCCGTAAATACACATTTTTGTATTGAAAATTATCCACAAACTTACCGTCATATCCTCCTAGAATCATTGAACCATAAGATCTGTAACTACCTACCTAGTTTAATTCCAGAATCTAGCTATGAATCTGATAAACATTTTTTTTTAGGTTTATGATAAAAAATGAATATTTAGAGGATGCCATTAAAATGGAAATAAAAGAATCACATATTGAACTAATAGGCACTGAAGGGATATTCATAAAGCAAGAAGATAATTCATGTATCGCCAATTCATCAAGACAAGATGTTATTGAGAAGTTTCAATGTTATACTTGCAATGGATATTCGATCTTTTGAATGTTACACTTGCAGAGCAAAATTTCAACATAAAAGTAGTTTGAAAAATCACTTTTCAATACACTCAGATATTTATCCTGAGAGGTAGTTTGAAGAATCATCTAATAACACACTTAAATGTTTATCCTTTTGAATGTGACACTTGCAAAGCAAAATTTAAACTAAAAAGCAATTTGAAAAGTCACATATCAACAACACATTCGAATGAGAAGAATTTTAAATGTAACATATGCAAAGCTAAATTGAAAACAAAGGGAGCTTTAAAAAACCATTTAATGATACACTCGGATATTTTTCCTTATGAATGTGACACTTGCAAGGCAAAATTTAAACTTAAAGGTATATTGAAAAATCACATATTAACACACTCGGATATTTATTCTTTTGAATGTAAGACTTGCAGAGCAGAATTTAGGCGTAAGTAATTTAAAAAGTCATATATTAACACATTCGGATATTCATTTTTTTGAATGTGACACTTGCAAAGCAAAATTTAAAACAAGAGGCAATTTGAAAAATCACATATCAACATACTCGGATTAGAAGAATTTCAAATGCAATATATGCGAGGCTCAATTAAAAACCAAGAATGGTTTAAAAATACATTTAACGATACACTCGGATATTTTTCCTTATGAATGTGACACTTGCAAAGCAAAGTTTAAACATAAAAGTAGTTCGAAAAGGCATATATTAACACACGTGGATATTTATCCTTTTACATGTAAATTCAAATGCAGAAGTAGTTTGGAAAGGCACATATTATCACACTCGGATTTTTATCCCTTTGAATGTAACACTTGCAAAGCAAAATTCAAGTATATAAGTAATTTGAAGAGTCATATATTAACACACTCGGATATTTATCTTTTTGAATGTGACAAGCAAAATTTAAACTAAAGGGCAATTTGAAGAGTCACATAAAGTCTGTGCACCGAGCTTACCCCTAAGCTGTAGAACACAGTATGGC